ATTTCGCGTGAATCAACGTAACCAGACCCGTGTTTGGATCTTTTTCGAAAGATGTAGCGGTGATAGGGAAGGGAACCTTTAGTAGACCGACGGACCCACCAGGAGCCAATCTGAAAAAGTTGTCCGAGGCTTCTTCTCTGAAGTCACTGCGGTCAATGTAGACGGTCTTGGTAAATGGTACAGTGTGAGACTAGATAAATAGGTGTCAGCAACTGTGGTAAAACTGGCATATAAATGCATGATTCCGTGAACACTTACCCCATGACTAGGGTCTTTGGAGAAAGGCAGGTCAATCATCTCCACGTAGTCGTCTGGGAGGTTGTCAATAACAACAGGGATGGGATCCAACACAAGCATAAGCCTAGGAACCGTTGACTCTAGGTAGGATCGCACAGACTGCTCTAGGCGCTTAACGTCAATTGTCGTCTTGGCCTTTGTAACACCGAGTTCTTTTACAAAGGATAAGATAGCCTGGGGAGGGATTCCACGTCGGCGAAGACCAACGAGAGTGAAGAGGCGAGGATCATCCCATCCCTTGACGTATTTTCCCCGGTTACATCCCTTTGGCTCGTTGCCTTCAATGAGCTCAACTAGCTTCCGCTTCGACATGATAGTGCCATTGATATTTAGGCGACCATACCTGGGCATACGTTAGAAGAGCCTGAATTTCCCAATGTGCAGTTGTCGCCGGAAAAGAATACATACTCTCTCTGCATTGGCTTGTAGATGTCGAGCTCATTAACTACCCAATCATATGACTCACGCGACAGCTCAAACTCTGTTGTGCACAGCGAGTGGGTGATGTTTTCAAAACTATCGCACACACAGTGGCAGTATTCATATGTTGGGTATATCTTCCACTTGTCACCGGTCTGCAAATGCTTTGCGAAATTACCGTCATCCGTTTCGACTACTCGGTATGCGAAAAGATCCCACATCTGAGGGTTAGGGTTCTCTAAATCCTGCTTCAAACGGAGGGCTGCCTCCCGAGCTCGATATTTCCCATCACGCATTGCACGGAATTCGGCAAGAGATTCTGAAGTAGGACGGTCACGATGAGCACAAGCAAATCTTTCATTTCCCTTTTTATCCGAGGTCTCGTCTGCGCCGCGCTGGGCCTTGATCTCGCTGTCTAATCAAAAGGGTTAGCGAGAGGTTCTAGCAATAATCCCAGGACACTCCATACCTGTACAATGACAGACATATGCCTTATCCTTCAAGATCAACTTCTCCGCTAGTTCGTACAACTGATCAAAATAATCACTTGTGTGTGTGATCTTTACTGGAGTGAAACCAAGCCAGCTGACAATGTCTTTGATGCTCTCGACGTAGCGCTCCTCCTCGCCTTTCGGGTTCGAGTCGTCAAAACGCAAGTAGCATATTCCACCGTAGTATCTGGCAAATTCGAAATTGACAGTCATGGCCTTGCTGTGGCCGATGTGGAGATAGCCATTTGGCTCGGGGGGGAATCGCGTTACGACCTGTTTGTTAACTGTACTCTCGAGGGGCCGTTCCTTGTACACGTCGGCAAGGAATCCGACCTTGAACATCGCATCGGGGTCATTGGGAGCTGGAGCAGCACGTTTGGATTCAGCTTTTTCGGGTTTTGGCTTCTTCTCTTTCGGCTTCTTCTCCTTGGGCTTTTTCTCTTTTGGTGGCTTCTGCTCTGCGACAGGTTTCTGGTCCTCGGCGGGCTGGCTCTCTTCTGCCGGCTTAGGACGAGCTGGCAGGTCCGTTGGCGTCTCCATCTTTTCGTCCTTAGCAGTCCAATATCCCCGGCTTCAAAATAACATCAACGTGGCAGCAAGAAGAGAGTCTCCTAAAGGGCATGCGGAATCGTGAGCCAGAAGGTTGACGGTCGACTTGATAATCATGACTCCCACTAGAAAACTAGAAAATCCCCCGCCAAAAAGACCTGCAGCTTTCTTACGTAAAAACTTAATATTTTTATCACGTGATAGTTATTAGCCGCGCGATTCATTCTTAGCGAGAAGCGAAATAAAATAAAACGAAGCAAAATAAAAGATAAGACGGCAGCATAGCCAATATTAATAGCTACCGGCGGTGGTGGTCGCTGCGGGCGAGGCTAATCATTAACAATATCAGTTAGTCTCAATGTCTACGGGAATCTAGGTTGAGTTGGTAGTGAACACATTGAACGAGTATCTGCCCAGAACCACCGCCGCCTTCCTGCCCAGGTCACTCTCTCCGCTAGAGTTCTCTCATTCTCTCTCTTGTTAACCCTTCGCCAGGCTTCTCCCTTGCTGTCTCTTCCCAAGGCCGTCCATCTTTACTGCTCTCTTAGAGTACTAGAGATAAGACGAGCCCCCTCAGGTTAATAAAGGTGTCTCGTGGACCAAAGGTGAGAAATGAGTATGCCTTGAAGGGAAATGGTACCTAGGGTGTGTATATTATTGTCCGTGGACGATGTTGATACCCAAAATACCTTTACAGGAACTAATTGTCAAGCCTCTCTCAGTCTCAATCGAATATCTAGTTATATCATGGTGCATTTAATGCTTTGAACCTCAGAATTCCCTTTACCGGATATTGGGACTACCACCTACTGAATACGGAATATATTCTCTTGAATAAATATATTAGGATTTAGTTCTCGGAGTTGCTTTTACATAATTCCATCCTAACTCTGAGACGATTTTGATATTTTGGTTCTCGACTGTCTCAGGCTACGCTGAACAGAAGAGAAGCAAATCACATCAAACAAACAGACCGAAGGGTTTAACATCCATCCAGTCTGAGACTTGAGCTCTGGGGCAAACTACACCTCGCCCGCCAGACTATGATGGTCTGTTTCGGTATGCAGCTGATGGCTCCCTTGCATATGACCAACGCTTGACACAAGATATCATGGTCAACAACCCTCCGAGTCTATCTATATAAATATCATTTACCTAACATGCTACCCATTGATGGCCAGTGTTCATGAATGTCCCTCACAATACAATGATTGACGAACAGAACAACACCACAGGGGTACTACGCTGTGAAACTATCAGTGAGTATACGGTATCATACTGTGAATATGCACAGGTTTCAAGGCCTATATTCTGGGATAACTAACCACTGTGGATGGACCGAATTGTACCAGGAAGAGATTATCTCTATACAATAGTCCCTGCAAAATATTTTGTCAAGCTGCTGAACCAAAAGTGAACCCGCTGGTCGGTGGCAGAGAGAGTAGCTATATTACCACATAGGTTTAGCATATTTCCAGAGCTAACATTGTGGAAACGCTCGAACAATAGTCGATGTCACTAAAAATAAATTTCAAAGTGTTTAAACCATCAATTCAGACATTTAAATCTTTGCGCCTGATACAGTACCCTGTCCTGCTAATGTTGTAATTTCACGCGCTCTCTAGTCAATTGACCAGCGTTAACGGAGTTTCCTCACAGATCTGTCGCTCGGAATTCTTGGAGGAATGCCGTCTTCAGCGACTTCCGCACTAAGCCACTTGGGATATGGTGACAGAAGATTCTAAATTAATCATATCAGTTGAAAAATAAGAGGTCTGCTAACTATGTCATCTCTCTTGACCCAAATTACAATACCATGTCATGCTGATATTTCCAGGAGTCAAATATGCAAATGGAAGGGACCACAGAGCCCTGTATTTTGTGAGGTGGACATAGTTTGAGAAAACGGAGACAAGGAGTGATGTGGTAACGGTGAGATACCACTGTGTTTGTATTCAAACCATTCCCAAGTATTCACCCTTGCAGTTAAGTTTGATCATCCAGGCAGCAGCATGAATTTTATCAAAGCCGCAGGGGTGTGCATTAGTCTCTCCCGAGAGCAACCACGATGCCCAATCGCTTGTCTAATGTGTCATTAAGCTCCTTTTTCAATGCCGATTGTGGAGGGGTATAGCGCCTCATTTACTCAATCAATTTTAGACAAAGCTTTTGAAAATTTGAGGGTCAGCAAGGGGCTTTGAAGGCGCATCGTGGTGCGGTGGAGTTTTGACGCTCGTATGCCAATAGAATGCCAGAGACGAATCATTGGGAGCCCCTTTGTAAGGTCTGAAACTGTTGCCTAAGGTTTAAATAGAGCCTGAAATTTAACCCTGGTTAATGCAGACACCAACTCCACCCGGCAACAGATACACAAAGGCTATTTTTCCTGTCAGACTGACATTCTGCTCTGATGTGACCCGTACACATTACCAATGGTTCCGGGTGCGCTTTACTGTATTCTTCTGACTAAATCTGTGTGAGAGAGAAATGGAAAATTAGTGCGAGTATATAGTTGTCCGTTCTTTATCCAATAGCTGAAGAAATGAACAGGTTAACCACTCTCAAACCCATACGTATCACACGGCTATTTTTATAAACAGCGCCTCGCGCCAAGGATCTAGTGTATGCGGGCCGTACCGCAGCGGCTAAAATAAGCCAATAGGAATTGAGAATTATTATGACTTCTATACTCGGTTACGTAGTGAGTTCACACATTTGTATGGCCCTTGAGACGGCTATCCATTTTCACTCCACCCTGCCAGGCTGAAATATACAAGCCTCCTGGTCTGAGAATGCTTATCCAATTAACTACTTCGCAAACTGTTGGATACTCCACCATTTGCATGAACTTATTGTGCATTAAAACGATTGCATTGCCAAGTATACTGCTGAGTGCTTTATATCCAACCGTTTTCACTGCCGCCTTCACGTCTGCCTGCCAGACTTTCCGCAATCATGCGGCTGAGACAGTTATACCCATTCGGGTGGCATTGAATTTTGATCCCCTGGCTCTAGTCATCCATTTATCCCAGTCCCCTCCCATGGAGCGGTCTATATAAGTAAGGGAAGCTGTCCTTCGTTGCTCATCACTTGTCATGAGAAAATCACAAACCAACACTCAAGAGACCCTTCCTGTATCCAGATAATAAGCACACTCTAATCTTTCAGCAACAACCTTTGCACAATTATTTCTGCCATTGGCTATCACTCTTTATTCATTGATCAATTTTTACCCTATCCACTATGGTTTCAACAAGAGCTAGGTCTACCCAGGTCCGATTCAACCGTCAGATGACTGTTGCTCCGATTCATGCTGAAGATACCCCTAAACTCCGTTCTGTGAAAAAATCTGGGCGTGGAGTGATTCTGACCTCTGAAAAGCGATTTCACACCCGTAAATCTGCTACCTCCGGCGTGAAAAAGCGTTACCATACTCCGGCAGCTAGCACCATAAAAACCACACCCAGGACAGCAAACAGCAAGAAACAGTTGGAGAAATACAATGCTATCACGGTACACAGTGGCAAATTTCTGAACCACCTCATGGATCACAAAATCTATTATGATGGCTATTCGGATGTCCAAGGTCATCCGCCTGCAAAGCCAAGAAATTGGGACGAGTTGCAGGAGGTTATAAAGAAACCCCATCCTTCTCTTTCACCAGAACGCTTTTCCGATGAGGCTTTTCAAAGGTTCAAACAGAAAGACCTTCGGGCCTTCAACGAGAGGGATGTCATTCTCGACTCCCTATGTATTATAGACATGTTCACCGGCGATCTCAGGAGTATCGCGAGGGACTACCTGTTCAATAATACTGGGCCCATTACTGATGGCTCACTCTGCGACACAAAGCCTGACATTGTGTATGGGGCCATTCCCGAAAGCCTCCGCCTAGGAATTCGGGACGAGTTATGCGATACCATTGTACCCTCTACTCGAACAGATCTTCCTATCTTACCAAATTTCTTTTTGGAAGCCAAGGGTCCCGACGGAAACCCTGCTATTGCAATGCGACAGGCTTGTTATGACGGGACTGTTGGAGCCCGTGGCATGCATTCCTTACAGACTTACAACAATAATGAACCAATCTATGATGGAAATGCTTACACTATCTCCGGAATTTATCACTATGGCCACTTGAAACTATATTGTCATCATATTGCTCCTCCAACCGAGAAAGATGAATGCCCTAAACATATCATGACCTCTCTATGCTCTTACTCTATGGTAAACGATCGCGATGACTTCATCAGGGGAGCATCGGCATACCGCAATCTCCGTGACTGGGCCAAGGAGAAAAGAGACATCTTCATCGCAGCTGCGAACGAAAAATATGAGGAATTGCAGGACCAGGCTGCCCCAATAGAGTCACAGAACTATGACGCAAGCTTCGATACACAATCGTTCCCTAGCGATTCTGAGGAGTCTGACCTAGACAACTCTGCAAAATGAAGATCGGAAAGAAGCTCCGATCTTGATGAAGAGCTTGTGATACGCGGTCATTCTGGTAATTAAATCCAGCTAGTGGGGTATGAATTGATACCATACCACTAACAAGCAGCCTTACATGTCACAAATGTTTTATCAGCGATCATTGTGGGCTTACTCAAACACTATATATAACACTATATATATGGAGAAGCGATTTCATATTCAATACCCATACTAATGTCTACATGTGTTGTCCAGGAAGAACGTGCTCTTAATTTGTTTATATCTATCATCTCTGAGTTTAGGTTCTGTAGCTATTTTTCTTTCTGCTTTTTCTTTTCTATAATTATATTTCTCACTAAGCCTTTCTATCATAATAGCGAGCATTAATTACCCAACGGCCTCCATTTTCATAAACAGCTTCTCGCGCTTAAGGAAGAAAGAGGTGGTCAATACCACACCCCCTGCAGCGATAAGCGAAACATAAACATTTTTCATCGCAGAGACAATAGCATTGATTGCAGCCTCTTTAACTTCTGGTGTTCCATGGATGAGGATGTCACTCTTTGCACCCGCAATTGCCGAAATAAGCTGTTCCCTCGAGTAGTCGCCATATTGAGCGAGGGCAGTTTCAAGGTTTCTCAGGGCCAAATTCTGGAATATCGTACCAGAGATAGCGAGGCACAACACCGTTGCTCCGAGCTGAGCGAGGTTAATGAAAGTAACCGCTTGGTTAACTTCAACCCCTTTAACCTTCGCTGCAGCAACGCTGTAAGCGGCCTGTGCTATTGCTCCGGCTCCAATGGCAAGAAGAACAGAATACCCGTATATGTTTGCGGTGGGTGTCTGAGCATCAACAGTATACATAAGGGCTGACCCGGCAACCAAGAATATTCCACTGATGGAATACCAGGGCATGTAGTAACCGAAAACTGGCATCAAAGCTCCGCTCGACATGATGACTGTTATTGTGACCATGACAAATGGTAGGAGGCGAACGGCGGCGGCAATTGCGCTATCTCCACGAGTGAACTGGAAGAATAGTGGGATATAATATGCACCGACGAAAAATGCTGAATTGGAGCAGCAGGTGCTGATGTAAAGGATGATCAATGACCTTCTTCTGAGAAAGGTTCCAGGGAACGCTCGGCGGGCTGGCGTGGTGAAAATTGCGAAGTATTGTTGGAGAATAAAGGCAATAAGCGTGACTCCAAAGAGCACGAATAAGGCGATTATGCGTCCGTCGTTCCACTTCCATGTCACTCCAGCAAATGTAAGAACCATGACCCAAAGGAAGTACACTCCGCCGTTAAGAACCATTCCTATGATATCCAGTTCCTTGAACTTCGAGAGCACAGAACCATCTGGAGATGCATTATGTCTTGGAACGAGCAGGAAGAGTGCTGGTAGCGTGATGGCAGCAAGAACTAGATTGATGTAAAATGCCTGAAATATGTTAGAGATGGGAGTTATTATATCCAGACAGGTGAAACTTACCCATCTCCATGTCGCAGGGCTGTCTGCAAAGGAGCCCCCAATCACAGGGCCAAGGATAGCCCCCGCTCCCCAGACAATTCCAGTCAATCCCATATATACAGGCCGTCTTCGAAGGGTGGTAAAAATTGCAATGTAGTTGAGGACGCTGAAGAACATGTTAGTACCAAAATTATGCTTTAAACGATGTTCAGACATACCCAAGGTACATTCCACACCCTCCAATCCCAGCCATCACTCGGCCTACTATCAACGAGTTCATATTTGGGGCACCTCCACAAAGAGCACTTCCACCTTCAAACAAAGCGAGTGAGATTATATATACATATTTGATATCAAATATGTTATAAAGAGCGCCACTTTGAACATTAGCTGACGTATCCGCAAATTATATTTCGGATAAACTCACATTGGAAGGATAGTTGCGACTGATCCTAGAGGGAAGCCAGTTCCCAGCCAGCTAAGCTTGTCCACAGACCCGAATCTTTCCACAATGGGCACCTGGACGTCGGCCACGATTGTTGTATCAAGTCCGTATAAAAAGGCGGAGGAATAGAGCACACAGCAGACAAGGAACCACTGGGGCAGAAATGTGAGCATGATTGTAAACCAGTATTACTAAATTTCTGGTGTTCTACTTACTTTCCATCCATGTACTCGAGGTGGTATTGTTGCATGGCTGTCATCACCAACGGCTTTCTCAGAGTTATCAATAGTATTCGTTAGGGGTCTCTCGATGGAGTAAATTGAAGCCTGCCCGCTCGCCGGAACGGAAGATTGTGCTGGGGTATCCATTGCAAAAACTGTAAAGGTCCAGCTTCTTAGACGACGAAATTGCTGATGTTCATGTCAATCATCAATCCGCGAAATATCAGCACAATTTGTAGCCCACGCCATGATGGCTCTGACTCAATGATGTCAATCCCAGTAAAATAAAAGTCTCCGAGGACGGTCTAATTCTGAAGCAAAACCTAGAGAGATGCATTCACACATAACATCACACGGAAACATGATTGGTAGCTTTAAGAGCTACTATCATGCCATCACGAAGTACCCCTTGCCATGATAGCAACAACGTGGTTTTGTCAGCATTGAGCTAGGCTCCAGTGGGTCTACCACGTTCGATATAATTATAAATCAACGGCCCGCGGATCCGAGGCGGTCCTGGAAAATCCAATATATTCGGACGAACAAGAATATAACCAGAGTGAGGTTATTTTCTGGGTATAATATCATTTCCCCCTTGGAAGGGATGAATGACGACAGGTTACTGAGGTGACCCAATAACGGAACACATCCTTGGGTATGGTACATTCATGTAGCCCATCCAAAGCTTCTTTCTGCCATGCGGACTTAAAGAGGCTAAAAGCCGCCATAACTACGGGCTTCAATCTCCGCGTAAAAGCCGCAGGCACTGAGCCATCCCCCCTTGCTTTCACCCTTGCTCTTGTTAATTTGTTCGTATGTTGACGTCAACAATTCAAGACTGCTTCTCAGCCAGTGGATTTGGGGGCTCAAATGGCAGACACCACGGGAAGTTTCTGTCCGCTGCTAGTTATGGACTACTGGCCAAGGATGGCTCTTGTTGGATCTTCGAAGAGGTTCGATAGCATGAATAATATCGACGGAAAAATAGCAACAGAAAGTAACTTTTCGCGTCAAATTAAGCTTAACAACCAAGCGCACGGTCCATGGATATATTTGCTTAGTCATCAGGCACCATTACCGTTGTGCTACACCCAGAACGATTCGAAGTGCACGGGTTGATTCTTCTATCTTTATCATTTCGCTAGTATAAAAGGTCTAAGGTAATGATAATCGGAAATCTGCTAATTTTAACAAGGTACGGGATTGATAAAATAAAAACGCTCCAAGTCCATATCTATCAACAACCATTACAATTCATCTTTAGCGCTCGTTGTTTCGCTTTTTGGGGTCTCCTTGGTCTTCGATTTAGCCTTGGGTTTTGACTGCGATTTCATGTTCTTGACCTTCTTTTTAGTGATTGGTTTAGATTTGCTGGAGCCTTGTCGTCTTTGTTTGGTGAGAATGGAAGAGAGAATCTTTTCGATCTCTTTGAGCTTGGCATCGATTTCAGTGATAGTAAGTGCCGGGTCCTCAAACTCGCTGAGCTTATTCTGCTCTTCGAGTTTAGATTCAAGCCATTTGGTGGTGGCGTTTAGGAGACTTGCGGCGGCTGAGAGGTCCTCAGGTGAATAGAGTGAGTAGGTAAGAGTGGGTTTGACTAGGGGTGCAGATTGTGTTGCGGACGATGATTCAGCGAAGTTATCATTATCAAGGTCGCTGTTTTCATTTGAATCCTTAGTTGGGGTGCCAGCTGGTGTTGAGGCGGTGGAAGGAGTGGATGAGTCTTCGTTTGTCGAGCTGGATGGTGCCTCGGTAGAAGCCGCTTCATAAGCTGACAAGGAAGAAGAGAAGAGCTCCTCTTCAGCTTTAATTTGACTCTCCATAATTTCTACCAGCATTTTTGTGCTGTCAAGACTTCCCTTCAAGGCATCGATCTTTCTGGGGCGAGTCAAACCTTCATTCCTTCGGTCAACTACTGGATCGACAATTCCCTTCAAATCGCGCAGTTTATCCTTGAGCTCTTCTATTCCGGCACTGGTGCCATCATCATGAAGCCACTCTCCCAAGATAGAAAGCTTCTCCTCCAATTGCTTTAGGACATCTTTTGTCGTAGCCTTGGTGAAAGTCTCTTCGTCAAGCCAATGGTGACCTTTGTAGATGAATGCTTCTAGTTCGTTAAATGCCTCTTCGCGATGAACACGAGAAAGGTCAGAGGCATCAAATGCGGAAAGGCGATCTTGAATACGCTTCATTTCCTCCGATGCTACTGGGGGTATCCCTAAGACGGTGGATGTAAAGCCAACCGAAACCGACTCAATTCGGACTTTTGGCTCTTTGGCAGCCTTTTCTGCTTCCTTAGAGGAACTAGTCGAGGACGTCGCACTCGCAGACGCACTGTCTGCTGTCGAAGCCGTAGATGATGAAGTGTTCTCGAGGTCAATAGCATCCTCAGGCTCCTTGACAGGCTCCTGGTCAGATTTCTTCGACCCAAGTCCAAAGAATTCCTTGACATCCTCTACAACTCCCTTCTTCTCGACTTGGACCTCGCAACTCACACTGCCACCCATAACTTCAGGGAGTCCGTTTACAGGGTTCAATCTGACAGACACCATGGTGGTAATGTTCACAGGAGAGCAGCCAAATTCGTCCCTGAGCTTAGAAGCTGAAGCAGTCAAGTTCGCTGTTTGTGCCTCGAGGATGGGGGCTTCGACCTGCTTGCCATTGCGGGTGTAGAGTTGGGAAAACTTGATTGTAAAATCTTCCACATTCTTGACTGTCAGGTACTTGACAGACCCACTCTCCGAGTAAGGAGTGAAAATATTCTGTTGCCTATCTTTGTCTCCTGATTTCCATCTCATATTGATAGCGTAGCCCGAGGTATCATAAGTCCGGATCTCCTTGACGCGGAATGAGGGACTGAGGGAGGCAGCCTTGAAAGCAGTACCAAATACAGCAGCCTCATCGGCATTGACATTTGTTCTGACTTTTCCATCGGTAGATTCTTCGAGTGCTTTCTTGACAAAAGGAGTTCGGGTGGCACCACCGTGAAGAATCACGGATTCAATGTCGCTCATCTTCAAGCCCGCCGCGGAAATTGCTTCTGCCAGTGGAACAGTAACCTGGTTGGCATATTTCTCAGTGATTTTTTCAAATTCGGCCCGAGTGAGAGTGTATTTGAAATTGACATCCTCCTGGTAGAGATTCTCAAAGGATACTGTGGTTTCAGTGTTTGCGCTCAAAACATGACGAACCCGCTCAGAATCCTTCCATAGTTTTGCCATCGTCTTTCCGTGAGCCCTGACTTGTGAGATTGTCACATCTCCAAGCTTTTTTGTAGCGACAAATTTTTCTACCATATCATCCACGATTAGCTGGTTGAACATGTCGCCACCCATGGTCTTGTCCCAGGCGGTCCCAAGGACATGGATTTCCTGGACGGTTTTGTTAAATTTCCCCACATCCTTAACAGTGCGGCTCTGGAGCCGGAGCACGTTTGCGCTAGTAGATCCAGCACCCATGTCAAAAATAACATGGTACTCAGGCTTCTTTCCATCAGAAACATTGGGGAATGTGCGGGAGGTAGCATAGTTAATGCCAACGGCTAGACCATCGCTAACCATGGAGACGATGTCAAGGCCAGCTAACTCCGCGGCCAGCTCCACACTACGCTTTTCCTCCGCGGTATAGAAAGGTGGAACTGTGATGGCTGCCTTTTTAATGTTTGTCCCCTTTCCACCCAATGCCTCTGCATTTGCCTTGACTTGCTTTAGCTGCATAGACAACAGTTCCTCGACAAGGAAAGGTTCCCTCCCATCATTTGCTCCAACTTTCGCGCTCCTAAACCCAACAGTCCCTCGATCTCCAGATGCAGCTTCAATTTTCAGAGCCGGGTAGCGCTGCCTATACATCTCAACCAAGTTTTCGTTCTCTGATCCGGAGCCTTGGATGCCAGTATCCACGGGAACGCCGAGCAAAGTCTTCAAGTTAGCGTAGACATCGTCCGGGAATCTGGCAGCAAGTGAACTAGCGTCACCACCATAAAACCGTTCGGAGAATGTAGGGCTAGATTCACGGGCAGGTTTGAACGCTACAACTGCTGCTTCCTTTCTCTTTGAGTCCTTGGTCAGGACTATCTCGAGGGGTATTCCTGGTTTAACAAGGACGGCCTTTATATATTCTGTTCCGAGATCAATGCCAATGACACCAGAACCGACAGAGGCTGCCGCGGCTGCGGGGATAGTGACGGAGAGAAGGAAGAGTAGTGCTGCTGCGGCGATTAGATAGAAGAGAGGAGCTCTCCTCCGTCCAAGCAGCGCCATTGTGACGATGACTTCGTAAGGGAAGCAAGTGGGAAGGCTACAGATCTAGACCTAAGATGTAATTAGGTGTTATTACAATGCGCCTTAGACATAGGTAATAGCATCTCGGCCTGGTTGAATGGGGTCATACCTTTGATGAGAAGTAGGAAAGGAGCATATATACAATAAGTCAGAGCCTCGCTGACGGCAACAGGTTTGCTATCTGCTTCATGAAGGGAAAACCAAGAGAGTGCGGGAGTGGCTGGCAGATCACGGTGATGGGGGGCAAACTAGATGTTGCGGTCAAATTAAAATATAAACCAGCGCCGCTGCGGCGAATGAAACTAACGGGCAGAAGAGGACACGTCTATGCTATGCGCCCAATCCCCGAATTGAATGTATGTATAATTAATGGTATGAAAACTAGCTGCCGTGGCCGCGAATGACAGAGAGAGAGAGAGAGAAAGCCGCGATGAGGACACTTTGGCATCAGCTTCTTAACGCACTTTCGGCGATGTCGAAGAGCTTAGGTTGGTCGGTGCAAAGGGGACAAACATGCTGGATAGGGCATGTTTGCATTTCACTCTTGGCAAGTTTGTGTCACGTGGATATTTACGGAACATAGTTAATCCTGTTGCTTATGTAATTGAATTTTCAAGGAGCAAACAAAACAAACAAGACAAACAGGCACTTCACCCAAACCAACCTCCTTCCCAATCAAAATATTTCATCCAACGAAAATGACTCTCCTTACCATCAGGCAGAACAATATCTAAATGCTCTTATATCGTAGCTCCACTCGGCTTAGACGTGGACAATGCCCTATTTACAATATGACTACCGAAACATCCGTCGTTTAATTTAGTTCACTTCGGCAGCAGTTTGGTGAGCCCCCTCTGTGACAGGGGGGTATACTACACTCCGCAACGTAACATACAGGTACCACGTATTGCACTTTGCTTCGGATGGCATACAGCTGCTGGAAATACTCAAAGGTTGTCTAGACTGTTGGCATGCTGCCTCACACAGCACACGTCGGGCGCAATCGATGTTTCTGTGCACTCTGCATCACCAGCAACGGTGTGTGGAGAAAGTAGTACTGTATCCATATGCAGATGGTGTGATAAAAGGAGGGGTTTTGGTTCACATTACACACGTTATATTTTGGAACCAGTACTGCCCGAGATGACTTTTTCTAACTCTCCAGGTGGAGATGACACGGTTTATCATGCTTCTTTAGTATCCACGAGGCCTGGTAATGAGACCACTTACCTCTCCTGTTTACACAAGGCCGCCAAAATTGGGATTCCAACGAGCACGGTACATAATCATAAGCATAGATTCATAATCAAAAAGTTAAGTAGCCATTGAAAAATTAAGATGTGCTCTCTAGAGCAGTGTTATCAGACGCGGAAGGAAAATAGCCGCTAAGTGAGGAGTATGTATCTGCATTTTTACAATCTGAACCCATTCACAGCTCCGAATCACATGGAAGAGGGAAAGGTATACGAAATTTTATTATTCCAATTGCTTGTCATTCCGCCATGTTCGCTCCCGATTACTACTGTCAATTATGAAATTAAAAATATAATAGCCAAGTGGGTGGCATATATGGTTGAAATAAAAGAGCGTCTGATCAATTAGAATGGAGAAAAAATGAACATGTAGAATTCAAGGGGACATGGCTCATGCCAGCATCATAGCAGCACCGATAACCATCAGGATAGAAACCCCAGAACCTTTAGTACGCGTGGCCATACCAGTGTATACTGGTGGTATAACTGGAGTTGGACTTGTTGGGCTTGGCTGTTGCGTAGGGTTGGTACCACCAGTGGTAGTTTCTGATGGCGGTGCGGATGGAATGCCAGTCTCAGTTGATGAGGGTGGCGGTGATGGGTAGGGTGGTGGCTGGCTTTGAGATGGCTGAGGGACAGTGCCAGTGGGTTGTGATGGAACTGGAGTCTCCGACGAAGAGGGTGGAGGAACTGGTGGAGGAACTCCAGTGCTCCCTGGAGGAGATGGTGGAACACCAGTTCCAGTTGGGTATGGAGGACTCTGCGGGGGTGGACTCTGGGGTGGTTGAGGTACACCAGTACCAGTTGGAGATGGTGGGATAGGAACCACAGTCTCAGTTGTGGTTGTATGGGTGTAGGTTAAAGTGCTAGTCTCAGTCCTAGTCGAGGTAAACGTCTCGGTTCCGCTAGTGTGCGTCTCCGTAGTAACTAATACATATGTTAGTGCGTCCGCTACAAGATTAACTGAACGTTTATGTAGATATTTCAATTTACCTGGACAGCTGGTGCTGGTGTATGTCTCAGTCGTTGTCAGAGTAATTGTTGATGTCGGGACAGGCGTCTCTGTTCCAGTAGGATATGTTGGGTAAGTTGGCACGGGAGTCTCAGTTCCCGTGGGCTCGGTTGGAATAGGAGTCTCTGTTCCTGTGGGTTGAGTAGGCACGGGAGTCTCAGTGCCTGTGGGCTCAGTTGGAATTGGAGTTGGCAATGTTGGGATGGGAGTCCCCGTTCCTGTAGGGGTTGGCTGTGTGGGAATAGGAGTCTCAGTACCCGTTGGCTGAGTAGGGATAGGGATCTCAGTGCCCGTTGGCTCAGTTGGAATTGGAGTCTCGGTCCCCGTAGGCTGAGTAGGGATAGGGATCTCAGTGCCCGTTGGCTCAGTTGGAATTGGAGTCTCGGTCCCCGTAGGCTGAGTAGGGATAGGGATCTCAGTGCCCGTTGGCTCAGTTGGAATAGTAGTCTCAGTTCCAGTACCTGTTGGCTGAGGAGGAACAGGTATCCCCGTTCCTGTTGGTTGAGTGGGAGCAGGCGTTTCGGTTCCTGTAGGCTGAGTAGGAATAGGAATACCAGTTCCTGTTGGCTCAGTTGGAATTGGAGTTGGCAATGTTGGGATAGGGATCTCAGTTCCAGTGCCTGTTGGCTGCGTAGGAATAGGAATACCAGTTCCTGTTGGCTCAGTTGGAATTGGAGTTGGCAATGTTGGGATAGGGATCTCAGTTCCAGTGCCCGTTGGCTGAGTAGGAACAGGGGTTTCCGTTCCAGTGCCTGTTGGCTGAGTGGGAGCAGGAATCTCAGTTCCAGTGCCTGTTGGCTGCGTAGGAATAGGAATACCGGTTTCCGTGCCCGTTGGCTGAGTAGGAACCGGGGTTTCTGTTCCAGTGCCTGTTGGCTGAGTGGGAACAGGAGGTGGCAATGTTGGGACAGGAATATCAGTGCCCGTACCCGTTGGCTGGGTAGGAATTGGAGTCTCAGTTCCAGTACCTGTTGGCTGAGTGGGAACAGGAGTCTCAGTTCCAGTGCCTGTTGGCTGAGTGGGAACAGGAGTCTCAGTTCCAGTGCCTGTTGGCTGCGTAGGAATAGGAATACCGGTTCCCGTGCCCGTTGGCTGAGTAGGGACCGGGGTTTCTGTTCCAGTGCCGGTTGGCTGAGTGGGAACAGGAGGTGGCAATTTTGGGGCAGGAATCTCAGTTCCAGTAGGAGTTGGCAGTGTTGGAATAGGAATCTCCGTTCCAGTGCCTGTTGGCTGGGTTGGAATAGGAGTCTCAGTTCCAGTAGGCTGAGTAGGAATAGGAGTCTCCGTTCCAGTTCCTGTTGGCTGGGTTGGAATAGGAGTCTCCGTTCCAGTGCCTGTTGGCTGGGTTGGAATAGGAGTCTCAGTTCCAGTAGGCTGAGTAGGAATAGGAGTCTCCGTTCCAGTTCCTGTTGGCTGTGTTGGAATTGGAGTCTCCGTGGGCTCACAGGTTGTAGTATCTGTCCCTGTTGGGTTTACAGTGCCAGTGGAGGTTGGGATTGGAGTACCAGTTGGAATCGGGGTCTCAGTTCCAGTAGGAGAGGTTGGCTGTGTTGGAATTGGGATTACAGTTCCAGTGCCCGTTGGCTGAGTAGGAACAGGAGTCTCAGTCCCAGGCCTGTTGGCTGGGTAGGAATTGGAATCTCAGTCCCAGTAGGAGTTGGTAGTGTTGGAATAGGAATCTCAGTTCCAGTGGGGGAGGTTGGCTGTGTTGGAATTGGGATTTCTGTTCCAGTTCCTGTTGGCTGGGTAGGAATAGGAGTCTCAGTTCCAGTGCCTGTAGGCTGAGTGGGAATAGGGGTTTCTGTTCCAGTTCCTGTTGGCTGAGTAGGAATTGGGGTCTCTGTGGGCTCACAGGTTGTAGTATCTGTCCCTGTTGGGTTTA